CCACCACTGCCGCTGCTGCACCCCGTGCTGCCTTCCCGCGGCTGGCCGCAAGGCTCCTCGAGCACAGCTCCAGGGCACAGCTCCAGGGCCACACGGCTCCGCAAGCAAATGGCTCAGGGCAGCGGTGCCCCTCTGTGGGCTGCACACAAGCCTCCCAGCTGGCTAGGGTGGGTGGCTCGCACACAGCGGCCAGCACCACCACCACACTACTGCCACTGCTGTTGCATCCCTCACTGCTTGCCTGCAGAGCCGTGTGGCCAGCCCTGGGAAGGCAGTGCAGGGCGTGGCAGCAGCGGTGTGGTGGCCACTGCATGCGAGTCCCCCTGGTCGGCTGCCCGGGTGGCTTGCGTGCAACCTGCAGACAGGTACCGCTGCCCTGTGCCATTTGTCTGTGAAGCCACTGCCCCCTCACTGCCACCGCCACTGCCGTACCCCACACTGCTTTTCCACGGCAATTTTTTATCAAGGAAACCCAGGATCCCTGTTTATAAGCCAGGAAGCAGTGGGATAAACTGACTTGCCAAAAGTCAAGCAAATTAAAACAAACACCAAAAGATTCTTCAGACACATAAATAAAAGAGGAGGGAAGAAGGGTGACCACTGTGCAGTGAGGGTGGAGTCACAATCAAAAATAATCTAGGCATGACCCAAACACTAAATACATACTTTGCTTTATGTTTTCAATAAGAATGTTGAAAAAGGCAGCATTTTCTTCCTGAGCAGCAGATACACTTTAACACCCATATATTAGTCAGGGCTGATTTCTACCATGTTTCTGTTGCGTTAACGTACAAGTATTTCAGTTGTTTCTTATGATAATTTTTGAGCTAGATTAGGTAGTCTTTCACTAACTACTTGTCTACTTGACTCCTACTCTCATCCTTGCTGTCTATCCTTTTACTCTTTTCTGCATTGTCATATCCTTATTCTCCTTATTTCCTCTGTTTGTGTAGTCAGGAAGTTACATACATCTCTCCCCTTATTGTTTAGTTTAAAGCTGTTTTTATCAGTCATTTCAGCCTTGATCCCAGAAGGCCAGTATACCATTACTCACATGGAGTCCATTGATCAAGGAAAGTCCCATTTCTGTAAATGTTTCCAGTGGCTGAACACCCCAAAATATTCCTCACAACACCAATCCTTAAGTCATCCATTTCATTTTTGCAGCCACATTTTTGCATCAATGGATAATGCAGTCTGTGTGCCTAAATTAAGTTTGTGTACACATGTAAATTTTTAACATTAACAAAAACTTGGGGCCAGGTTACATTTTACATGTGTAATACAAAGAACACTGAGACAAACAACAACTAGAACATTAGAGACTTCCTTTGAAAATATGTATGTGAAAAGGTTATGTTGCCAGGAATATTTCATTACACTATGTTCATTCCAAGAAACCTAACCTAAGCATTGACAAGTCACGTGTGCTGACTATGAACTAAACGCAATATTACACTGTAGTTATTATTTGTAACTAACAGATAAAAGTGGAAGGAGCAAAACTTCACATTCAAATGCCCATGAACTGCATTTCGGCTAAATTATAGATCAGAATTTCACATATAACCCATACTTTATAAAGGACTGAATTAAAATCCAAAACCAAAGGCACCTGAAGTTTGGAAATTCCTGAAGTTTGGAATCTACATACAATTTCTGCACCACAAACTATTTTCTGCTTGCATCTTATGATACTCTAAAACAATATCTCACCAGTTCCAAAGGAGAGGCGTGTAAAAACGTATGTACTATTTAAAGACTCTAGAGGACAAGAAAAATATCTGTGTGGTTAAAAGACAAGAATATGAGTCAGAAGACCTGCATTCTCCCTATCAAGTTTGACACAGGGTTTGTAAGTAAACCCAGACAACTCATAACCTCTCTATGCTTCAGTTTTCCCAAATGTAGAATGCAAAATCTACTATTCATCTCTTGGAATGATGTGAAGCTAAATTCATTAAAGTTCATAAGTCCCTAAAAGATTCTGGAATTGATAGTTTTATGTAACATATTTTATTGCTGCTGTTTTTTAAGATAATCTCTATTTAACTTGCACAAAATAAAAGAGTATCTAGCTTAAAAGTTTTGTATTGAATGTATTAAAGTTCTTTGTGACTATTATGTACTGTTTTTCTTCATTGGTACACCATAGCTCAGCTGCATACATTTTGCCCACTTGTCAAGTACCTGTTCTCTGCTTCTACTGATCCTCTCGGACAACAAATCAGAGTTGTTTCTTTCTTCATCAAGTTCAAGTTCTAACTGAGACATCTTCTCCTAAAAAGAGCAAAGGTAGTTCAACATGTTAGTGCTTCTGTTTAAACAGCTAATAAGCCACACTTAAGACTGCAAAGCTTAAGTTGCCTGAAAACATCTTTAAATAGGGCAGTGCCTGAACATTTGTAGAGAATGCAAAAAATTACCAAAACACTTATTTGCGTTATACTAGGAAAGCCTCCAAGAGTTTACTGTCAAGCAGAATATTAATTAGTATAAAATATTTACCATATTACTCAATTGCAAAACAAGGTTTTTTCCCCCCATTCAAAACAGGGAAAATAAAGCCTCATCTTAGAACTTAGTATCAAGTGAAAATGCAGTCAGAAGAGATGGCAGGAATCTACTTGGTGAGGAACAGAGAAGTGAGGGAGCTGGTACAGAGGCACAGGGAAGCGTGGGAACCAGCATGGGGAGATGGGGTATTCCTTTTTTAAAAACAGGAACTTCAGTGTAACAGGTGTCCTCTCAGGACTTCTGTCTTCCATCCGCACAATTCTACCGCTAGCTTCCAATGTGAATTTGGATTTCTCTTTTCACTATAGCAACATATATTTGCAGTAAAAAGGAGCTTTGAGAAAAGCCCTTAAAAAGTTCTTTTAAAGCCAATTTAAGCTGTGCTATAAGAAAAGGTTATACTGCTGCAACTCCTGTGTCCCACACTGGGGAGGGGAGCCTGTCACTGACAGCCCATCACCTCCCATTGGAAGGCAGCAAGCAATGCTGCAGATCCCTGGAGACTGGGAGAGCGGCAGGCTCCAGAAGTGCTGGAGGGTGGCAGGCTGTCAGTAAGCACACTGCTGCACCTGCTCTTAGGAAGTGGGGACTGCAGCTCTGCTCCCCAATCCTGATGACAGCTGAGCATAAGTGTTCATTAACTGTCTAACCTGCTCTCTCTTCCACCCCTTCTTGGTGGGGGATAAGGGCTCACAGACTACTGTGGGATGCTGGGAACTAAGACAGCCCCTGTCCCATCACACACTGCACTGGACAGACATTACATGTAGTGCTACAAAAAGGAATGCAACAAAAGTTCCTATTTCATCCAGAAGCATTTCTGTAGTGCTTCCACCATTCTTTTTTATCACTACAAATGTAGTGGTGTCTGTCCGTGGCCTGGGACAGATTCCAATCCTATGGCCAAGATCCTAAAAGCTACCTAAGCTACTTGAAAATCAGGAAGAATTAGACACCAAAGGAGGAATTAGTTGAGGAACTGAGGAATACTTTGGGGAACTGAATTAAAACCTTCCAGTTTTGGTGCCAGGTAAATTCCAGGAAAACTACAAAGGTAACTGAAAAACATTTTTCATGTCAGTAAAAGAAAGCATTGAAAGAATTCACAGAAGAGCTGCCATTCAGAATATAATATGCAATATCTGATTTGCTGAATGCTGACCTTGGGATGTGCCAAACCTCAATGCTCTTGCATTACCAGTACACAATTTTTCTGTTAGGCAAGGTCAAATTATTTTCTTCCTTCCAACCCCCAACCCAAGTAAAAAATAAAAAAATAAAAAAGCAATTCCAGTCAGCTTTAGCAAAATATCCATCAGGCTTATGCATCTGAAGGATCCTTAGTCAAAAACTGCCTTTTACCTCCATTAGTTTCATCTGTCTTGCCCGATCATCTTTCAAATGGTTTCTGGCTTCCAGTTCATATTCCAGGCCTTTCACAGTCTGTTCCAGTAACTGGATTTTTGTAATTGCCTCATCCTGGGCTCTCTGGTGATTCCGTAAATCCTCTTCCATAAGATGCATCTGAAAAAAAGAACGCAAGTTATGTGATTCACAACACAGTTCTCTTTGGCAATAAATGTGCTATACAGATCCTGAGGTATTAAAATACTTACACAGTGGGATAGGAATTATACAGTACTATGAGCTTACTGAAGTCATTTTTACTTTTTCCACAAGATGGCACTGAGTAAAAAAACGTGGACAGGAATTCTCAGCTGTTACAATACTTCAAATAACAGGTTTCACAGCAATAATTATATACATTTGAATTTTTACTTCAAGGCAACTAGTCAATTCTGTACAACTAAAAAGAAGACAATAAAGCTCTGTGGAACTTTATGTCTTTGGTAATTCCCAATGCCTCCCTCCCTTTTTCACTTTTTTTTTTTTTTTATATAAACTCCACCTTTATAAGTGCAGGAAACACAGAGCGAAGGAAGAGAGAAGAACAGTGGTGATTCTTCATACTAACATGTCTACACATTATTATTAACAGTTTAAAACCTAGTTTCTCAAATGGAAAGAAAGAAAAAAAATATAAGTTCTGTCCAGGAAATTCAAACTACTAAAATATACTGCATACAGAAGACATCCATGGCCTGTCCTTTCTTACAGTTTTTCCAAATCCCAAACCAGTGCATGCAGATACATAAAGGGGCTGGACTGATTTTATGATAGAACTTGCATGCTAAAAGGCAGACATTGCCAGGCTGTGTCCAATTCTTGCCTGCACAGGCAGCTTTGTCATTTAAATCTCTACCTTAGCTCATAGAAAAGAAAAAGATAATGAGTGTCAATTTCTTCAAAAAGCTCAGGGCAGCCTTTTTTTTTCTTTTTCCTTTTTCTTTTTAAATTGCTGTTAGCCTTTTAAATGACTAAAAGCTATTTCACTGTTCTCAATTTTGCTTTGCAACAACATTAAAAGAGCAACAGAATTTCAGTAGAAACAATGTCATATCATTTTGATACATCCATATGTCAAACATACTCTACATTTATCTATTGTATCCAGGAAGCCCTATTTCCCTTGCAGAAGTAACACATTGATGATCAACTTAAATAATTCGATCACAAAAGCATCTCGACTGAGATCACTCCCTCCTGATAAGTGCACAAGAGAAATGATATCAAAGATTCATTGTTCTGAAAATTGTCTGAGCAGAATTCTAGGTCAGAGGTTAAACATGTCATTGGATTTATGAACCATTACCTCATCCTGCATTGTCATGGTTGTCAGGCGTGATTTTTCTACCTCAAGGCTTTTCTCTTTTAATTGTCTCTGCATTTCTGTAAGTTCTCTGCAATTTTTCTCCTTACAGTCATCAAGTTGATTCTGAAACTCAAAAGTGGATGTCCGGGAAGCCTCTACAATTTCAGCCATCTGGCAAAAAAGGAACATAGCATATAACATTTCCCAAAGTAAAGCAAAGCGACAAAGGGTTTGTGCTGACTTCTACTGCAGTAAAATGTTTTTGTACTTATCCACTCTCTCTTATATTACATCAGGATCATTAATTAATCATTTAAAGAATATTATCCATGCTGTATGTGAAGAAATTAATAAGAAAAAAGATGCAGCTTTAAAATTGTGTTTCCAAAATGTGTGGCAAGAGAGTCCCCAGAGCATACTGTTTGTGTCAGCAGCACTTGCTGTTGATCAGCATTTTAGCCTGTATGAGCCATGCTTTATCATAAAAAAACTAAAGCCGTATGTTAATACATAGATGACAAAAGTAATGCAACAAAGCAGCAGCAGCTGGAAAAATTAACTGTATATTATTGCAGTCCAGCTGATGGTTATTTTTATCAAAGACTGAGGTTATTTTTTGTACTTAATGGAACAGAATTCAAATATGACATCTTGTTTTAACAAAACAGGACTGTTTTACAGTGGCATTTTGGGATAGCACTGTTCCAACTATTGCTCCTGTCCTGAAAGCTTGGATTGATAGTCACCAGGTCAAAGATATTAACAGAAAAGTTCACATTACACTTTCATGTACACACTAAAACCAACCAAAAAAACCCCCCACTTCTCTGCAATTTGGCAGCTTATTTGCCTTTTTCCCTGTTAGAAATTTAATCTCCTGCAGCCTCTTTTCAGCCCATCCATACCTCCTTGTGTAACTTCTCAATGGTCTTGTCTAGTTGCCATCGTTCATTTTCCATTTCATTCTTTATCCTCTTCAGTTGTTCCTTCTGGTTAATTTCATCTTTTAACAGTTCGCTTAACTGTTGCTGGTCCTTAGAAATATTACTGAAGTTTCTCTGCAGCAAATGGGAAAGTTGCACTATGAAATATAATGACAACCACAGCTCTTGGAATTGTTAAAGGGATTTCATGTAACACACTACCACATCCCATGCAGCAGCAATGATATTTTACATTCATTGAAAATAAATATTTATTTTGTATTGTAATATAGCATCAAACAGAAAGGGGCTACTGAGTCAAGGTTTAGTACCCAGCCTATGAAGAATTAAATATTATGCTGCTAGTTAATGCTTACCGGTAAATAAAAACAAGTTCCTGAAATGGTGCAATACCTTATTGGTGTCCTTTATTTAGTTCTATTACTTGCAAAGCACGTAGTCAACTGCACTTCAGTAGCACCCAGCATATTGTACCTTCTGCCATAGAATTCTACTTGTATTTCAGGCTTTGCAATTTCTTTGTTCTCATTGTCTACCTGAAAGGATTCCCAAACCCAATAGTACAACTGAGGGTTGAGGGGAGGAAGGGGGTACCTGGGGCAGAAACCCCACAATCAACACAACTGGAACAGAGATCTGTCCTGCTATGCCTCTGTCCAAACACCTCTATTCGCTCTGCCTGTTTTGATGTTTTGATTAGTTTAATAAGCTAAGTATTGTTCCAAAAGTGTACAAGAAATAAATAATAAAGTAACCATTCATATTTTAAAATTATATTTTCATAGCACCTGAAAGCTTCCATCAGGAATAGGTTTCAATTGGCAGGCATTGTCCAAACAGATACAGACAATGCCTAGCATGAAGATCCTTGTCCTGAAGAGCTTTCCAAGTAGAGTAACTCCTCCCAAATACATTTTACATTGTTATCAAATCTGAACCTACCCATATGGATTAATCTTTCGATGATCTACACAGCTCTACTATGCATTCACATATTGACCTGGGAGCTTCAGAGCACCATATATGCTGAAAGACTGAGGGAGACTTGGAAGAAATTTACCTGTTCTGTCACTATTGCTCAGTGGTAGAATCTATGCTTAAGAATACACCAGTTTCAACACTGCAAGGTATTAGTGACACAAAGCTGAGAGCTGGGATTCATTTTTCATTGCCTATTTACAATGTGGAAAGGTCCATTTTAAATCAGTCTTGTTTGTCTTTTTTTTCTTTTCCTTAAAGCCGGTAATGAATGGCAGGAGAATCTAGCTATTTTCTGAAACAATGAATCTTGCATTGGTGGCTTTCACTTCTTGGGCACCATTTGCCTTTTTTGGAATTCCTAAAAATCCCACCCCCCCACCCACCCGCCCAACCAACCAGCCATAAAGTATCAGCATGTAGAGAACAATGCCAAAAACCATTCGTAGTGCAAGTGTTGCATCATCTGCTAGTACAGGAAAAAAAACCTAAGTGAAACTTACAGCAATAGCCGGTGCAGAAAATAAAACCAAGTAGTCTCAAACAGATGATAGTAAAAGAGAGAGATGGTTTGCTGCGTTAGTCTGAAGTCAGACTGAAGGTCTGGTGGCATGGCGGGATGGCACCGTGAAGACCAAATTGTTCAAAGAGACATAAGCTTTTGAAGGCACCACAAGCATCTGATGAAGTAGCCTGTTTGAAAACGTATCCCTCTCCGAACTAGTTTCTAAGGTGCAATCCTGCCCTACCTTCTGTCAAGCTGAGATGTAAAAATGAAACAAGCAGCATAATAAATCTCTTTCTTAAATAACCTGTGCTGTTACTTGCAAAATATACAAAATTATTTTTTTAAATGTGCAATTTTGCTTGATAATTTCCTTTTAATATAATTCCAGATATTAATATTGTGTGCACTACTAAGTTTAAAAATATATTTTAGAATGCTTAGGAAAACATATTGCTACCCCCGTAAGAATTTCATAATGTGATATTTAATTAAAACTCTAGTTTGTATACCAAATAAGAAAAGGGATTTGGTAAACAACAAAGGTAAAAATGCTAAAATGCCATTCAGTTCTTTGATATTCTTGGCATCCCTTCCAATTCTGTAATCTGATACTTATTACAAATGAACAGAGAAATCTCTGATATGAATTGGAATTAAGGATATATGCCTAAAACTGCATGCACAAACATAAAGCAGTTATCCCCCAAAGCCTCATTCTACAAGAGAACTAGTCAAGCTGGCACTATAGAATTTTAAGAACCCTAGAAAGGTTCAATTTTAGCATCGCAGTGCTAAAAGCAGCAGAATTCTTGGGTCCCTGCTAATGTGCTATATTCCAACAGGCTATAAAAACCTCACATGCTCCCCTATCAGTCTTTCACAGATCATTTAACTTTACAGTTTGTTTACACATCCTTGAAAAACAAACCACACAGACACAGATCTGTGAAATATATTGTGGCAGGATGATGGTGCCAATAGGAAGCTGTTCCGTGCCTGCAGCATATTGAAAGGAAGGCATAACATCAGAACAAATCTGGTTTTGCAATTTAAGAATTAGCAGCAGAAATCAATCACTGATATCACCAGCAATATCTGCTACAAACACAGAAGCTATTTTACATGTGACTATATTATATTGTTCATGGGAATTTACAGACAGGAAGTACTTTAGTAGACTGCAAAGCATGTCATCATATTTTGCCTGGTGTTCCAATGTGGCAGCATAGGACATCAAATTTTGAAAATTAATTCTTTTCTTCACCTACTGCATTGAGCCATAGTCTAACATGCTGAAATGGAAGCTGGTATAGTCTATATCAGGGATGCTCAACCTCTGGCACACAGGCCAAATGCAGCCCATGAAGCCACTGCATTTGGCCCACAAGGCTCCCTACGGGATGGAAAATTTGGCAGCGGGGGAGCAATGATAAAGAATATGGCCACCCTCCTCCTCAGCACCTTTCCCCACCACCAAATTACCAAATCACAAGCCCCATGCAGCTGGTTGGAGCCAGGCCACTCTCCCTTCTCTGGTGGGGCCAGGTTGGGGCTGGACTGCCCCCTTGTTCCCCTTCTGCATGGCAGGAGGGTGCCTGCCACTCCTGCCCCAGGCACCAGATCCAAACCACCAGTCAGATCCAGTCCAGGGACAGCCTAGGCACTGTCCATCTAGCCCATCCAGGAAAAAAGTTAAGCATCACTGGTCTATATCTTCATTTATTTCTGCCATCCATACTCTTTTTTTTTCTATTTATGATTGAGTAAGGAAGAAAACCATGAGTGTTGTAGTTTGGATGCCTCATGCCACCATTCTTCTGTATGGTTCTGGCTCCTTTAATAAACTGTCATAGATTCATAGATGTTAGGGTCAGAAGGGATCTCAATAGATCATCGAGTCCGACCCCCTGCATAAGCAGGAAAGAGT